AACACCCGATATTAATTCGCCGGATCGGATCTAGCGGCAAGGCCACCGGCGGCGTTTACCGCTCGTAGAACGTGGGGCGGCGAAATGAGAAACGAGGGAACGCGATTTCCACTTAGCCGAGCCCGCTAAAATTACGCAACCCGTTGCGTGATCGCTGGATTCTCTTTTTCTTCCGACTTTCCTCTCCCTCCCTCTCTCTCTCTCTCTCTCTTCGCACGGTGAAGATCGACGTTCCTCGTTCCGCGGCGGGCTGCATCCCTCGTCCTCGCACTATCTGCTAAGTCGCTTACCGTATCCAACGTCGATCTTCTTCTCGTGTCTCGCGCAGCACGTATGTTGCCCGGTCTCCTCGCTGCGAGCCGTTCCTTCTTCGTCCGGACACTTATCACCGACGGCTGGAACAGAAACATGCCCCGACAGCGGTTGTCAATGAGGATCGCCGATAGAGACGGCGCGCGAGGTGCTCCGGCTATTGAAACGCGAGGAAAGCGTTCGAAACCTACTCGCGAGCGCACATTGAACTTGATCCCGTCTCGGTACCTCGATACAGGTCAATTCTACCGAGTTGCGTAACCCCTTGACCGGAGAACATTTCTATCGTCTATTCTCGGATTGAAGAATCAAACCGGATAATATCGAAGAGAAACTTTCCCAATGGTCCGAGACGGACGAAAGACGCGAAGAGAGAACAAGCGGGAAAGCAAGATCGTGCAGGTAAAAGAGATCGATGAGTGCCTACCTAATCGTAAATTGGCGAGGCAAACTAAGATGAAGCCACCGAATACGGCCCACCGACCCCTCGTGATTCTCATTCGCATCGGTACGAGTTGCGGCGACCGTGGCGAATCGAACGCGGTTTACCCGCGCGTCCAGGCGAACGTGGATCCGGCGAGCGCAGAGAGACGTCGGCGCGGAATCGGGGCTCCGTGCGTTTACTGCCGATCCTGTGCGAGAGGTGAACGCGGTGTATCGGCGCGTCGACGCGGTAATAGGTCCGAGCACCGCTAATTAGTCACAGCGACGGCGTTGCGGTCATTTGCTCTCACGAACGCGCGGCCGGATGACTAGATTGATTCGCGGTGCACGGAATACTCGTACGGGCTCGCACGTAAACTCGCACGGTCATATGCGGACAGCGGTGTGTAGTTCCGTAGGCACAGGCCGATCACGGTGCGATCGATCACGATCGGTTGTTGCCCACGCAGGTTGCGATCTGCGAGAAGACTGGCCGTCTGGAAGCCGCTGTGGATCTCGCTCAGACGGAGAGGCGTCCGGCTGACAGGCGGATCTCTATTAATCTCGTTTGGTACGGGAACGTCGGCCCGCTTCGTCACGGCTGGCCCGTCCGTCCATCCATCGGGTCTTTTGCCCTCTTGCTCTACCCCACAATCGCCGATGCGCCGGCCCGATCATGCTGATTTTATGCCCCGCCGAACCTGATTCATCTTGCCTCCATTGCAAACGTCAACATTCCAGCCCGGCCGACTTTCATCTCCCTACGTCGACTGGGTCCGTCCCTTTCGCTGTCTCTTTACCTTCGTTCTTCTTCTTCTTCTTCTTCTTCTTCTTCGTCGTCGTCTTCTTCTTCTTCTTTTCTTCTTCTTCTTTTTTCCTCCGATCAATCGTATCACCTAACGACGTTACTTGTCTCGTGCATCGGATATCGTCGGTAATGACCCTCGTACCAAAATCTCCTGACCGTTGGTTCCGATTATCTTCCATGTACTTTCTTCTCCTGAGAACTCGTCGAGTACCTGCGGTTATTATTCGTGTAACCATCGTGGTTGATGGAAGATTCTATTGTACTGGTATATTAACCCTTTGCGGACGAATGTCGATAGTTTGAGATGAAACTTTCATGTTTCTATTACTCAAACAGCAAGAGATCTACAGTTTCCCTTTTGTCTATCAATTAACTAATTCATCTATAATTTAACTTCACCCAAGATTTTGTATATTTCAAAAGATTCTTCAAAGGGTTAATTGAGATATGATACCTTTTTGGTTGTTAATGATATACGTGGATCAGGATTCATTTTTCTACGTGGACCGTGAATGTGGCGTTGTTGGTGGTCTGGACCCCTTAATGACCGACCCCGAGTGACACTCGTGCACGCTGAACTTGTGGAATAGGTCGGACGAGCCAGACTCGTGCGCGTTAGTTTTATCGGAGAAATGTACTATAATGGATGTATGGTAGAAAATTTAATACGAATTTTGGTAATAGTTTGGTATATTCCGGTTTAATATTGTTCGAAGATTAACACGTTAAGCGCCATATTTGAAAACAATGGTAACGTGCAAGGCAACCTTAACCCCTTGCACTATGCTTCCTTTCTCGACTCTAATCGACACTGCCATTAAATTTTAAGCTAAAAATTGTAAGCATATTCTATGTCCATGGTTGCTCTTAAGTGTAATAATTCATTACAAAAGAATAATATTTATTTTGAATTCGAAATGATGTTTGTTGCATCATGCTGAAAATCGCCACGAGGCTGACGCGTTGTCATGAGGCAAGGGGTTAATAACGTAACAAAGTTGATAATATTGCAACGTCGAATAATTAATAATTGTCCCTGCTTTTCTTTGCTACGAAAAAATAACTCTACGAAAAACAGTTAAGACTTTCGTAGCGCTTAACGTGTTAACTACAAATTTAAACCTTATGGGGTTACTGGCGTTCGAGTACCTTGGTATCCTCCAAGCAACCAGGAAGATGAATGGGAATGCTTCTGTTAGGTGTTTTCGTGATAGATGGGATTTGTCTAATGTACCTGCTACATCAGATATTTGCCACTTACGCTTAATGAATCACTTAATGGCACGTGCCATGTGTACAGACTTAGGACGCGTACCCTAAATTTGCGCCATTTTACTTAATAGATCGTAGATACCGCAGCATCGATGTCTCGTTTGAGCTATCGATTATTTAAATTGAATCAAATACTAGTTACGTCATAGAAAATATAACGGTTTCAGTTACCTGTTTAATAATCTTTTATTTGTTTATCGTTACTACACCCCAACTTTTTTTATCTATTACGTCTTTACGCACGAAATATGCCACCCGACGTACACGTGTTTCGATGGGTAGTATCGTGCAATAAATATTTCTATCGAGTAAATGTTTCATAAATTATTCAACAGATAATAAGTTTTATCCCGACATCGACGAAGAATCATTTACGCGTGAGGTAAAAATGTATATATATTTATTCTTTTCATGGGTGTATTCCGGTGGACAGCTTTGATCTTACCAATTCATAGGTTATGTTTTCGTTGTGAGCCACTCTCTCGTTTCAATGTTTGTATACTCTTAGAAAAAATTAGGTTACAATGGAGTAAAAAGAAATAATGCGACTGAGAGAATTGTAGCTTACCGAGTAGCATTTATTTTGTTTAGAATGACTTCAAAAACGAAAGACAGCGGAAGAAAGAGTCTTTTTTCTCTTTGGGTCACATGTGAAAAGTGTGAAAGCACGTTAACGTCGAAAAACGTAGCTGACCATGAAGCTAATTGTCCACCGAATTTGGAGAAATGGAGTCACGATTTTATTTATTGTGGTACCTTATACAGTACCATAGAAATGTATAAATCACAAGGTATGTGCAACAATACTTATGTCATTGGCCATACAACTTTTTACCAATGTATTTCTTGCTTAGAACAGCCAAAAAATATATCACCAAGAGCATTAGATGACATGGTCTTTATGTCCCAATCCGCATTACAATTGTGCGATATCGCAATAGGAGATCCTGTTTTGGTTAGCGCAGAAGGTGGCACAGTGGTTAAAACTGCATGGCCTACTAAAGAAAAAACACTCACGAGTGTCTCATTGACAAAGCATGGTTGGTTGTAAATCCAATTTTTTTTTAATAAGAAATATCAAAATATTTCTATCAAAGTATCTTTTGTAGCAATGGAATTGAATAATCTGCAGGGCCTTGTTAAAATACAAAAATTGAATTGTCCGGTTACTATTGCTAAAGAATTTATAATTTCTAATACGGGAAAGCATTCGGTACCGGAAACAAACACAGAACTTAACATAATACTGAAGAATCATAATGAACAGAAAATATTTTTCGTTGGAAATAAATTCAGCATACCATTTTATGGGAAGCGATTAACTTATCAGATTATACAAGTTACATCAGATGAAAGTACAGACAGTATATCGGAACAGTTTAAACAGCTGAATTTAACCACAGATCATACGTATAGTGTTAAACTTTACAAGGCACTTTACAATACAAAGTGGACCATTTTAAGCGAGAAAGAAGAGAAAAAAGATGAACCTCAGAAACATAAATACAGAATGGAAGATATTGGAGGATATAATAATCTGATAGAAGACATTAAAGATGTTCTTAATATTGGTCTTGGTAAATGTAAAAGTATTGGAGATTTTTATATTAGTAAAGGAATATTATTATATGGTGCTTGTGGTGTTGGTAAATCTCTCATTGCGAATGCTTTAATATCTGAATATGATCTCAACAGTTCTATTATTTACAGTTCAGATATTTATAGCAAATCCCTCGGCGAAACAGAGCAGAAATTAAAAGACATTTTCATGGGAGCCAAAGCTAAAACCCCCAGTATAATTCTAATAGAAGAAATCGATAACTTATGCCCTAAAAGAACCACCTCCAGTACTGACCACGAAAGAAGAGTTCTCTCCCAATTAATAGCACTGTTTGACGAGATACAGAATACAAACGATAATATTGTAATTTTGGCCACGACTTCCAAACTCGATCAGGTGGACAGTTCTCTTAGGAGACCTGGTAGAATAGACAAAGAATTCGAAATCTACGTGCCAACTCCAACTATGCGAATCGAAATACTACAAAAGTTGTTACTAAAAATACCAAACACTTTAACCGTGCAGGACGTAAAAGATATCGCGTTCGTTACTCACGGGTTTGTTGGAGCAGACTTGTACGGTCTATGTTCCCAGGCAGTCTTAAATGCTGTAAAGCGCCAACAAAAAACAAACGTAGCCTTTGAATCCTTTTCAAAAGTAACGTTACCTGATTTCAATCTCGCTTTAGCTGTAGCAAAACCGTCAGCCATGAAAGAGGTTCTGATAGAAGTACCTAACGTCAGGTGGTCTGACATAGGAGGGCAGAAGGATTTGAAATTAAAATTAAAGCAAGCGGTTGAGTGGCCGTTGCGTCATCCTGAGGCATTTGAGAGAATGGGCATCACTCCGCCTAGGGGAGTTCTAATGTTTGGACCACCAGGTTGTTCTAAAACAATGATCGCGAAAGCTCTGGCAACAGAAAGTAAAGTCAATTTCCTAAACATAAAGGTAACGCGTTAGTGTGTCCCATTTTGTCCTCTAGTAGACAATGTTCAACCAGAAAGGTCCGTTTTAGGGTCCGGAGTTATTTTCAAAATGGGTCGGCGAGTCTGAGAAAGCTGTAAGAGAAGTATTTAGAAAAGCCAGGCAAGTGTCGCCTTCGATAGTATTTATTGATGAAATTGATGCGTTAGGGGGTGAAAGAAGTTCGTCCTCTAATGGTGGGAGCAACGTGCAAGAACGGGTTTTAGCGCAATTACTAACGGAACTCGATGGGGTTACTGCATTGGGAAGCGTTACACTAGTTGCTGCCACTAATCGACCCGATAAAATCGACAAGGTCAGTATAATTCTAGGGAAACATTTCACCGGGTACATTGACTTTTGCTAATGGCAATTTAATACTCTTCTCAGGCACTCCTTCGACCGGGTCGGTTGGACCGTATAATATATGTACCATTGCCCGATGACGAAACTAGGCAAGAGATTTTCGACATAAAGCTGAGGAACATGCCGGTCGACGGTGATGTAAATATTCAAGATCTAGTCGTAATCACAGAAGGATATTCTGGGGCAGAAATCCAGGCTATATGCCACGAGGCAGCGATGAAAGCACTGGAAGAGGATCTAAACGCCGCTGTAATCACCAAAGAACATTTCAAAGCGGCGCTGGCTATCGTTACACCTCGAACTCCACCGTCCTTGATCAATTTATACAACAGCTATTTACATAAAAATTATTAACTGCGAACTTGTCTCGTTTATATAGTGATTCGCTTATCAAACTACCGTTCAGTTATTTTCATCGCACACTTCAAGCTCCAACTTCAAACAATCTTCTTGTCCGGAAACTCCAACAAAATTCGCAATTCTATAATCACAATATAAGTAAAAACATGTCGGTGGTTGTAAGGTGCGACCGCCCTTACGGTAAGAAAGAGCTGAAAGAAATTATTAAAAGGTTTGATGATCTTATTATCCATAGACGCCACTGAATATTATTTCTATTATCTTGAATGATTTAAAAACACCTACATCAAAGGAAATTCAGTTTTTCCATGATAATATTTGGTGCCTAATCTATAATGACCAATCAATACTTAGAGTATTTATTTCAGTTGTGGTGGTTGTCCACCGATGGAACCACAATGCCCACCGTGTCCTCCGTCGTACTCGGAACCCATAATTTGTTGCCCTCCTAGTCCACCTAGTGGTAATTGCCCATCTTCATTACCTTGCCCTCCACGACCTTTTGTATGCCCGCCCTGTTGCTGCTATCCGTGCGTCACCTGTGCACCTTTACCTAAGCCAGTGCCCGCTCCTCCCGAATATGGACCCGTTATAAGGACACGTGTCACCTCTGGAGGACTTTTCTACACTGGGACCATCAAATGTTATCCTTGCGTACCTTGCACAACACCTGTTTGCTGTCCCTAAACACCCTTCTACCTGTCTTACAACCCTGATACCCGGCATGCCCTCTTTCCAAGTCATAATCCTGTCAAAAGTTTATATGTTCTCTGTACAACTGTAATAAACGGTATGTCCTCTCATAAAATTACCTGGCAATCTTTTGCATTAGTATACAGTCATAGAAAATTGTTTTTTTCCATATGCACAGAAGAAACAAATGTACCTATAACGTTCAATTTTTTTATCTTGTTGTGCAAAAAATTTACTAGTTTTGTGGAGAATTGGATTCTTTTTTTATAAATTAACGAATGGCCTGTAAATAAAAATGGAAAAGGAACCTTGCGAATTGTGCCCATGGGGTCATACGGACAGGTCCAGTTGCACGATAACAACTTGCACCTGGCCTTTGTTGAATATTGATCGACCTAAGGATTGCCAGGAGTATTATCCTCCAATTAAAAGAATAAAGGCAGTCAGGTGAAAATTTAATTATTTTATTATGTGTCGGTCATAATATTTTATTACTTATTCGATTGTGACGTTATTGCAGGTTTATACAACCGGCGAATACGACACGAGGTTACGCGCCATGGACGAATTTAATGTATCGTCCTATAATACAAGGTGGTTTTAAATATTTTGGAGTAAATAAATTAGTTCCTCTTGGTCCTCCTCCAGATTCACCTGTATTATGCCGTCCTGCCCCTGTTAGACCAACCGATTCCCCTGGGATGATAGTATATTGTGATAGTAGAATTTGAATTAAGTATGCATGTGTGAATGCATATAAATACGTGGAAGTACGAATCTGTACCGTATATAATAATAATACTTCATTCCATCATACTGTACTGTTGTCAAATAAAAATTGTATATTTGTACGGCTCTATGTTAAGATATTTATAAATGTGAAAATCAAGGTTATGTTTTGATTCAAGTAACATAGATTAACGTTAGTATCTTGAAACAATTAAACAATTAATATGGAGGCATTATGGAATCGAATGCAATTAGAACGTCCACCGAATGCAACTTATTGCATCCAACGTAATAAATTTGGTAATGTAGATTGTAACCTATATGGCACATGGTCTAACAATGAAAACATTCTAATCTAAATTATTTTTTATCATTAACAGATACAACGGAATTTTTTAATGTCTTAGACAAGGCTCTGAAAGATTTGAAATCCCAAGAGCTGTTGCACAAGGAAGCAGCTATTTTAAGTAGACTAATTTACCGTATGAAAATTAAATTTCGAAATGATAAGGGTGTGAAATCCATGTCGAAACTTAATAGAGCTTTGTTGAATTATCTTTCTTTATCTCTTGAAAAAGAATATGAAAATCTGAAAAGCTACGTTGAAATAAACAGCAACAAGATTAAGTTACCTACTAAGCAAATGGTAGAATATGTTTTAGTAAGGATTCAGGGGTTTGCAAAGTTAATGGCACGCATAGAAGAAACCTCAAAGCATGCTGCCCACTTTCTTAAGTGTAGAATAGCTTTAGGCCATGCTTGGACCGTTGCCACTATTGCATATTCTGTTGTTAGTAGAATATGGTATGTTGTTATAATGTTATACAATAAGTATTTAGTAATGATTTACACAGCTTAAGTATCTTTTCTTATAGGCTTTTATCAAGGCATTTAATAAAAAGATCTTGTATATGGTATAATGATTTATATCAGTACTTAGAATTATTCAAAGCAATAGGTGTAAATTGGCTTCCTACAGAGTTTGAACTGCCAACTAATTTAGAAGTATGGCTAGCATTGCCATGGATAAATGAACCTATATCAAAGTAAGTGTAAAATGCAAATTCTGTATATACCGCTGTGTAATTGTCTCATGACTGATAATTTGCATTTGCACAGTGTTCCCAGTACTTATGGATTAAGTAATACAATGTTCAAATTAATTATTCCCCGTGATTACGACTCAGATGAAGACATAGCATTAGATGTGTGTAACTACAGCAAGGAAACGCATCAAACCAGTTCTTTGAATCCACAGAAAGAAAATTTAACATATAACAATGTAACAATAGGGGAACAAAATCTTATTTTTGACAATGATCCAGGAGGTACAAGGATTGGCACCTTAACATTAACTTATACAACACATAAATGTAGAAATAATTAACAGTTCTTTTTTTTCATAGAATTTATAGATCGCCGCACTTTTAATTTAAAACCAACTAAACAGAATACATTGCAAAATGCGCCTGTAGTTGCAAAAAAGGAGAAACACAAAGAAATCATAGAAGTCGAAGATAAAATCAGTCAAAATATCGAAGACGACGGTTTAAGTATAAAACGTGAAAATTTCAAAATGACACCGAAACGTTTAAATAAAAAGAGAGACCCACCAAAAGTATTAACACTGGACAATGTTAAGAACAAATCAGAGTTAATAGTACTACTGAATAACGAATCATATCCCGATTTGGATAAACTGCAGTGGAACATGATCAGAAACAAAGGGAAAAAACTGTTGAATAAACTAGACGCATCTTCCGACGAGGCGAATCAATCATTTCCGTTGAAGAAAGCAGTTAAACGCATACAACGGTGGCTCGTCTAATTATAACATAAATTACCTACCCACATAAAACACTACAAACATGTTCACAAACCCAACCGCCTCCAAAAAAAGAATATAACATAAACCGTTCACATTCGTTACCAGAAATATTCTATTTCTTGGACCTAGAATCGACGAAGCAACGAACGACAAGTTGAAAGTCTCATGTATTTCATCGTCAACTATAATCAACTTATAACAATTATAAGCGAAACCATAGTTGGTCAAATACATCCAGGACAATTCGCTATGGAAAATAATGAAGTAATCCCTGAGTGTACGTGTGCATATACGTAATACATTCTGAAATGATTAAACCGTCTAGCCGCAGAAGCGAAGGAACGCCGTGCAATTTTGTAAAACCGACGCGTGTGCGTTAAACAATTCCGTCGTGCGATCGTTTACACGTCGTAGTCCGGCTGCAGGCGAATGGTGTATCGGCGCGGTCTCATCCACAGCTTCAATCCACCGTCGTACTGCCTCTTCTTCATGTTGTTGAAGCAACAGGCCCGGAACTGTCGGGTGCCGCATATGTCGGCGCATTCCCTGCCGCACTGGTCGCAGGACAGAGTCTCCCCGATGGTCCAGAACGCGCACACTGCAACGCACACAACGTGTCACGCCTGCGACCCTCCTCTTCGTCGGTTTCTTTCTCCGCGCAACCCGCGCGCCGCCCGAGGAGATGCATTTATGGATGTCACGGGCAGAACGTAATGAATTTTAAGCAAGTAATTACAAGTTACCGCATCTACATGCCGGCGTTAAGTAATGCGGAAGTCGAGCGCGGCCCCCTAAACTTTTTCAGTTTCCGAGGTAGCCGTGCGTCGTCGGCGTACCCGCTCAAAAGGAATTTCTTCGTAACAAATTAATACTCGGGACACTCGGAATCTCATCCCAGAATATTATCCCAGGACACGATACGAAATTAGCGAAGGATAAGATCTCAGAGGGGACGGTATACCGCTTTCAGTAAGACACTGTTTGATGGGATTATCTCTTTATAGAAGAGATTACACTGCGCGCGACGATCCCGTCTATTCCGGAGTCCTTTGACGCGACTGAATTTAGCAATTAACGGACCGCTCTCGGTTTTAATCGTGAGTGACATAAAACAATGCTCACCGATAAGCAGCAGCATGATGCAAGTGCCGTTCAGCTTCATGTCTGACGATTGAAGTTTCTTTGAAACTGAAAAGAGTGAGAAATCCTTTTACACTTCAACCGCTGTTGCTTTGTGGGGCACCTTGTTCTGTTTTAATAAAAAAGACAGGGTACATCTAATGAACAGGGTACGTCTTCTTATAGAAAAAGGTACCACACTTTGCAAAACGTTGACAGAACACGATATACGATTTGAAAGAAAAGTGAAATGGTCAGAGGATAACGAGTTTATGGTATGTAAAATATTTGCAAAATTTGCGTACACTGGGAAATGTCTACACAGAGTTGAACACAGGAATAGAGCGCTTAAAGCGTAGTACTGATCACAGAGATGCCGACTCACCAATCCTTTGGGGACGAGCGTCGAAGAGCAAGTGATAAGACCTCCTGCGGAGGACCGCCACCTCAAGATATAGTCCCCCACCAGCTCCTGCCGCCGCCTGCATCCTTAACGCACACGCAATCGCATTTTCGGCATCGATACGGTATTCAGAATAATCTCCGGTTTTAAAACTGTCCTTAGACTTCTAATCAGCAGGAACCGAGTTCGCTTCCTACGTACTCGTACAAAAGTCACGGGGGATTTGGGAAATCCGATTGGCATGACGACACGGGGTACAATAAGGTTACTGTATCGCGAAAATATTAACATCTATTTTCTAATACGCTGTCATTAATCTACACAGACTGATGATGCTGATGTACACGAACGTCGACGGATTTCTTGAGGCGCTGCTTATTTGCGACAGCGATTGAGCTGGAACATATAAAAACAAAGATAATTCAGTGATTAGACTCCGGATGTCTATGCAGTTTTGAGAGCCAAAATTCCACAGATTGCAATAACAATATATATAAAATATCTATGGCACGATTATTATAACGTGTCTCAGGAGAAACCATTCTGCATTTCGTTTCCCAGTTACTGACAATGTTCAATTCACATTTTGTTCTTCCAATTGCATTCTCGAGCATTCGAATTTCCTTAACACTAGGTTCACGGGCATTTATTGTACAGTTTATTTTATTGTTCCTGGAGAAGTTGATATTCGTTCATTTAGATTTTGGAAATTGTAGATGTAGAAATAGACAATCAGAATTCATATTCATGTAATTGGATAAATAATGTTTATAAAATTCAATCTGCGTAAACCTAGTGTTAAACACTCCAGTCCAATCCAATAGTTTCATGTGGAGTTTAGCCCATTCGAGGCGATCTTTTTCGAACACCCCCAGGAGCGAAGGTCATAAGGACATTATTATTACTATTGCACACACGGTGTGCAACCGGTCTAGCCTCGGAAATCAATTGCACACAGGGTGGGTTAAAAAATAGCCGAACCAGGATAATAGATGATCCTCTCTCTGCGCTTGTAATCCGTTCGCGGTATGGACACCTCGCAGTCCAAGAGCGTCGGCTCGAACGTGTTCCTGACGATCACGACTCGTTTCACCGACAGGTCCTTCCTGTACCATTCCGTCTTCTCCGTCCGGTCGTAGTAGCTGTGCACCTCCGCCCCTTCCACGTAGAACTTGAGGATCGGCCTCGGGTACGCCCCGTTCACCACGCAAGTGAGATTCAAATGAGTCTCGTTGAACGAGGAAACGTGGATCGTCGCGTCTTTCTCCGGTGCTGCGAGACAAAATCGGGTTTCAACGGTTTCAACGGTTTCCTCAGGATTTCCCGAGACATTTCTACGTTCGTATCAAAAATTCCCGGAGTACCGTAAACGATCATCCGCGATCTCTTCGAGTCCTCCCCTTGAAACGTGCTGATGGTGCACGTGTACTCGCCGCTCATCTCGACGGTGGCCATTCTCAGGTGAATCACGGACTGCGAGTTCGGCTGTCGCAGATTCTCCTCAGGATACTCGGCCAAACCGTTTATCACGCCGACATCCTGCGGCGGCACTACAAATGTTTAACACGTTGAATGCCGTGTTAGGTACCGATGACGATATGGATTACTTGAAAAGAATCGGACATGAGAGATAATCGATGTCGAATTGAAATGTTTAATAACTAAGTTGATATCGTGATGCAAAGATCGTAACGAAGTAGTGAATGGTTGCTACTTTTCTTTACTGAAAAGGATAACTGTACGGAAAATCAAGATTTCAAGAGTCAGACTCTCGTCAGACTCAGTCTTTGACTCTACAATAAATTTTTAAAAAGTTCCTCGTTTCTCAATGAGAATTCATTTCTGGTCTGAACGGAAAATTACTTGGTGGTATCCACTGGTAAATCTGGTCCATGTTGTGGTACCACTTCACCACGAGGCCGTTCTCGTCCGATCGAACCCGGTACAGGCACGATAGATCGATGGGACCGGTCCCATTACGCACAATGCGTGGAACCTCCAGCACGTCGATCCTCGAGGCGCGCGTGTCTGGAAAAACACGGGTTCGTTACAATAAGATCACGATTCCATTGAACGAATATTTTAAATGTGGGCGCATCGATTGATCGGCTGGTCGTAAAATTAGAACCGACAATCCGCGCGATTAAGCGCTTTAGAGCGTGTGTAGAGAATAATTCCGACGCGTTAGAGCAAACTCGTACGCAAACTCGAACCGATTCGAAGGGCCGTGTGCGTTTTCGGGGACTTCCGGTGCCACGGAGTCGTCGGGAGTTTACCTGGGAACGGCGGCGACGTTATAGCAGCTGCCAGCAGGAAAATCGTGCACGCCGTCGACGGCATTTTCAACGAAGACCTCTTTTCAGACTGTTGCACAATTTAGCATGCTTCGTTAGACGTAAATCAAGCGCAGGCGAAAGATTCTGCGCAGCCATCGGACTATCGTTGTTCGACGTAGAAACTTTTACGTAGACGTTACTGCTGGAGAATGATATCTTGTGCGTCGAGGCATTTTATCGGCTAATTGATTCAGTCGAAATGTCATTGTGTAGATGTTTATTTCGGTTTTGTAATTGATCGCAGCGGAAATTCGCCGCCAATTCTTCGAACGCTTGCGGACGCTCTTTCTGACTCCCTCGGTGGCCGATAGATGGTAACCATAGGACGTTCCATTGATTTTATTATGTGGTAATTAAATTGATATGGTTTTGATAGTCTGTAGTTAATGTTAATAATTGTTGAGTGGTATTTAACTGGTTTAAGTGAGAATTTTTGTTGTAATTTTATATGGGAAATTTGAATTTTAGTTGAAGTACCTTTGGCGTCGTCTATGGGGAATGAAGTCAACTAGCAAGTAACGGTATTTAATTATCCGTACTTGTGATTCGTGCTCCTCGGCGTACAACTGATTTCAACGTTTGTCATTCAAATTGTGGACGGTGTGAAAACAAACGATGGTGGTTTTCTTCGGTGATTTATATTGTTGTTGATCGATATTATTTTGACAATAATGGACGATGATCCAAGAGAGGTGCTGGCTCTTCTTAATTCACTGGGATTCGTTGGAATTACTGCGCAACAGTTGAAAGGTTTTATGAAAGGTAAACAGCTTTGAGGGATTTGTATTTTGTTCCTGGTTTTTGATCGTTTTTGTTGTAGTTGTTGTACAGTAGATTTAATTTGTTCTTATCTTTGTCGTTAGATTTGAAGTTGTATAGAAAAGTAAAAGAACGTGAAAAGCAACAAAGAAAAGAAGAAATCACGAAGAAAATAATAGAGAAACAGCAAAGTGATATAAAAAGAATTCTTAGAGAACAGAGGAAGCAGTTCTCTTCAGCTGAGAACTATGTGACCACTGATTCCTCTAATTCTTATGTTGACAGTCCTATCGTAAAGGTAAAGGTACAATGTGTGTCAAGTGATAAAGAGAATAAAAAGTGTTCAAGTACGGAAGGTAGTTCTTTAGGTACAAAGCAAAATGGTGTTACAAAGTCAAAGCCCAAAACAGTGTCTGATCCTTACAATGTTAAATCTACTAGTGTTACCCATGAAGGAGATAATACCAGTACTCATTTAAAAAGTTACAAAAAATGCTCAGAATATTTAAAAGAAGACAGTGGTCTTGTAAGGAAGCCCAGAACAAAACTAGAAAATGATACAGTTCTTCCTCATCATAAGGAGTCAATATCTTTACAACCCAAAAGACCCATGAGTGCTCCAAATATACTAGAACACGAGCAAGAACGGGTTGGAAGTAGTCAAACAAAAAGTATATTGTCTACAAAAACTTCTCACTCTGGAACAAAATCCTGTAAGATTTTAATATATCCAATGTCATTCAATGTTGATGTCAGTAATCTTAATTTGGTTTCAATAAACAGTCATTAGGCCATGGAGGTTACAACCAGAAGCTCAAAAAAGTTTAAGTAATAAAAAATCTGACCCAGTTGCACTTTATCAAAAGTATCAACAAGAGTGGAAGCAGATGTCTTTCCCTGGGGAAGCTAAACATGCAAGCCTAAGGTGGGCAATACGTGAAAAAATGTTAGGTGGAGATCCTCATCCTATGGTAATGACTTTGTATAAGTATGATTATTGTATTTGATCTTGTGTTCATTCTCTGTGATATTTTGTCTTTCAGCCTCTTCCCAGGAAGTCGACTAGTATGCCAACTTTAAAAAAAAAATGACCCTAAATAAATATAGGAAATTAATTTTTGACTAGGAATACTTAGTCATAAGGAACATAATTTTTATAACTGACTTTCATTTAATTATTGTAAAGCAGATGTCTATTGTTGGTTAAAGACAACTACAATTTTATCAGTAATAAATACAGTTTCAATATTTCCTTTCATTTGACTTTAATTTTGGTTGACTTTAAATGCTTTCATAACATTTTTAATATCTGCTCTATGCAGGTGATACAGGAGTTTTTCTTCGATTAAACGTGCAGCTCTTTCAGTCAAGATCAAGGTATTATGCTTTAACATACTATATACATTCAGGCCTAGAAAATAAATGAAAATTAAGTGAAGTACATTTAAATTATCATAGTAAATTCTCAATTGCACTCTTACCGTACACAGGCATTAGATTTACATGTTTTATAGTATCCGTTGCCATTGTTATATTTTTGGGCATGATATCTTCAGTATCAACAAAAAGTACAGAAGGACCCCAACATCTTTCTTCTATCAGTTCTTTTATGTAAGAAGGTTCTTCTGTTGGTAACTCTAAATCCTTAACTATGTATAGATCATCTTGAGCAAGTTTTGTAGACAATGTGCTGGCAAGACCACGAACGCGTATGTAAAAGGGAAGCATATAAAAATGAGGTGTCGGAGATCTTGGACCATGTGCAATACCGCCACCTCTCCATAGTGGTGAACGTCTACTTCCATGTCGTGCACGACCTGTACCTTTTTGTTGCCAAGGTTTATGACCACCACCTCTTGCTTCTGCTCGAGTTTTTGCATGTGCATAGCACTGAAATAAAATACTAAATTTACTTCCGAATGACAACCTCCTTTATAGATAGTTGTTTGTTATTTTGTAATTACCACATAACGGTACATCCTCTGCCATCTAACATTTTGATGAATTATATCTACTCTTGGTGGTGCTGCATAGACGTCTGGATGTAGAAACATTAGACCTAACTTTTTTCTTTCAAGCGTGTCTAAGTTTTCCAGCCAAACTTCCCGTGGCTTTTGATATAAAAACTTCTCATCGTTATAATTTACTTTAGAGATAATTGGAACAAATTCTTTACTAGTTGTTTGTTCGTTAACTACAGCTGTGCAAAGCTTTGCCGCTTGTTGCGAGCAAACCTGAAGCTTTGTAATAACGTTCCGAAGAATCATCGACATTTTTGTAAACAAAGTTTGTTTGTTACGTATTCACACGATACTCATTGTTGAACTATAACCTAATAGTGTTTCTACCCCACTTTAACTTTATCTAAGTTTCCAGATGTCGCTGGAAGAAATAATTTTGCAGATGTCACTACTGTAGATCATGTGGACTTCTTCGGACAAACAAATAACTTCAAATTTTTTAATTGTCGCACTCGATGGATTTTTTACTATGTGAACATTGAATAATAAACTAATGTTTTAATAGGTTTATATTAATCGCAACAAACGACACGTTAGGCGATATAACATAGACGGGTGCCGCCAAATATTTTTGTGTTATTGTATGTATTATTGTATTGTATATTATTACCAAAAATGTTTGGAAGAAAGGCTTTTAAGCTTATATCGGAATTAGATTCATGTACGGATATTGAACCGTTCAATGTAAGTTGCATAACATTCTATAAAATTAGTTACAACAATGATGTTATTGATAATTGAAGGTAAACATTTTGTAGGAAGCAGTAGTTAAAGAAGTTTTGGAAGAAATGCATTCTCTATATGATGCAAACATGTCTGATAGGTTGGTACACGATTATATTTACTCATCAAAAAATTTATTGCTTCAGAAATATAATATATGTATATTACTTTTAGTATGGCCATTCAAAATGAGGACAATGTGACTTTACTACCATCGATTCAACTTAGGCATATTGCTTTGAACAGAAACAAAAGATGCGTTTTGGCATACCTATATAACAGAATGAGAAAGTTAAGAGAATTACGTTGGGAATTAGGAAGCATTTTACCCCCAGAAATAAGTTCCAATCTGTTGAATGGTGAGGCTCAATGGTATCAATCATACAACAAATCTTTAGCTACATATATGAGGTCATTGGGTGAAGATCAAGGATTTAATTTGACAACAAATATGTTACCCCCAAAAACCCCTTATGTGGAGGTGAATATATCGAATGTCAATGGTTATCATCCATAACATTCCAACATGCAATAATTCTTCAACTCTGCAATTCCAGGTGAAATGTGTAGTAGATTTTGGAAAGCTGGAGCTGGATGATGGCCAAGTTATATTATTAAAGAAAAATACGTATCATTTATTACCAAGAGCTGTGTGTGAGCCACTCATAAGACAAGGTATACTCGAGCATAACAGCACATAATATATTTCTTTTTTATCTTATAAAAATAAACATTTAATGTATATTTCTGTTCTTCTCTCAATAGTTCTTTTTAAAAGCATACATCAAGTAATCCTTAAATTAAAGGGAGGTGTTTGGAAAGGTGAAGAGGAAGTTCTTTCAAAGAACACAATTACCCAAAATATCCACCTGAAATTCCCAGTACCCGCCAAACTCAAGAAATTGCGTTGAACATTCGACTCTTATCCAAAACCACATTTAAAAATTTCTCAACCCGCATGTGTATACACGGTTACATTAGGAATTTCCCCGAGAAACTTAAATTCCATCCGCCAGCGCATGGTTGACTGCAAACAGTTCGAAGTCGGTCCGCGCATGCTACACCGCGTTTTGCTCGACGATAGTGTGGTTTGTTTATTCCCCTGCGGTGCAACTCTCGTGTCCGACATATAATCTTCGCGTATGAAGCAACGGTATGCTCAAAGTTTTTCCTTCCAGTCGAACAACAAAAACAACAATTTCCACCAATAACATCAGTCGATCCGTTACGCAGCATGTCGATCGTAGTCGCAAAGTCGTCTCCGCTTATCAGGTAAGCGCGTTCGTTCGCTAAGTGACCTATTTTTTAGTTTTCGTTAAACATAAATCTCCGAACAATATTCGCGGCGATAAGGAAAATCACGCGGTCTTTTTTCTTAAAATAAACATTAATCCCCACTCGTCGATTAAGCTGTTATGCGCGGTCCGATCGGAGATTTTAAATCCTTTCGATAAACGCACGTATCTCTGACCGTCCGTGATTGCTCGATTACGCCTAACTCCTCGGTGGATCGTTAATCGATCTTAGATTTGGGGATCACCGGAAGTTTACGCCGGTCTTGTTACGTTAATTATGCGATCGGCCGCGGCACACAGTCGAGGCGAAAAGTCCAACCGTCCGAAGATGTTATCAGGATTGCGTAATTCTCCTCTCCCATTATCCTTGCCGTGCGTTGTCTTTCGTTTTCGGTTTGTCGGAATCGGCAACGGCAACTTTTATCGTGCTAGCAACGGAACGAGCGTTCTTATTAACCCGCGCCTTAAGTGTAACGGAGTTCAGGGACACTTTTGCAGTATCTCCGACGAAGATACACCCGTGCGAACGATACCTTCTCGCCATTGAGTCACCGTACTTTCCCAGATCTCGTGAGCTACGGAGTATCCTCGATATCTGGGACTGCACGGCGAGACAAAAAATGATCGAGAGAAAACAAACGATCAATAAAACAGTAGGAAAATATTTTTCGATAAAATCACGCGTTCATCGAAAACCTTTTCCCCGTTACGTGACTCCCGTGGAAGCCTTGGAGGCGAAGCGGTCACCGAGACTTTGTCCTGGTGATTTCCAACGAAATCGCAATCGAGTTTCTTGTACCATTGCACGTTTTGTGCCACGTGTACCACGTATGGTACACGCGAATTTTTGTAGGGAAATATTTTTAGAACTACCGGGCATTTACGATTAATATGCAATTCCTATAAAAATTGTAATAGATTATTTTCAGTTTCTTCAGGCATTCATAGTACTCAAATGGAACTATTTTCAAAATCAGTTTGAATATTCAATGCTTCGATATCAATAATTGCTAAACAAAATCGAAACCAGTCAGAATGACTGGTAGTTCTAGTGTTAAGGGATGTATGGTCAAGAATAATGGTATTACAAAGTACCAAAACAAACATGAAAATTACCAAAACTTGAATATAACAACACTTAGCCAACCGAATGGGGATCTGTTTATCTTCTGGTTTAATAAGTCTTGAAGTGGGATTATTTGCAATTCATCAAATACGGTTGTTTTTACGAAGCAAAGCTTTTAACCAGATCAATCGAACGAGTTCAATCGAAGATAATGCAGGTTGTAGTTATTATTTCAGGCAGTTTCCTAAGTGTTGATATTTGATTTAAGTAATAGAGTCCATAAGCGAAATACGAGGTAAATTTCCATGGAGCGTATTAATGTAATTGGCGCCATATTTGCCGATTGTTTTCGAAAGCGGATGGTGGACAATAGGTAATTAACGAATAAATATTCTGCGGTCACGGGATTTATCCTTTTAACCTCGAGCGGGTACCGCGGCTGTCCCCGGGCGAGCACGGCACCTCCGGAGGTGCAGGTTCAACGGTCGAAAAGTATGTAACACAAGGTGCTGCAACAAAATCGCTGATAATGCCTCGGTATATCTACCGGCGGATTGATTCTTATAAACGATGCAGAGATAATACATTTCCAGGGCTTATCTCAGGTTTTCCCCAGATAGCTTAAACGTCTCCCCGTGGGAAGCTAATCAGCTAAATTTCTTCGCGTCCTTGCCATTCTTTTGTTTTCCCCTTCTGCTCTTTCGTCCGAAAGCCACGCTGGGAACGGCGTAACCGCAATCCGCGACTCGTTTCTCTTTTCCGGGTAAACGAATAATACGGATACATGCATAATCGGTAATAATTGTAGAACGGGAATAATAAGAGAACCGACGAGAGGCGAGTCCGCGGAACAAACGCGAGAACTGTGCGTTCTTTACTCCGTCGTCTTCAGAAAATCGTATCTGGGCCTGTTTTCAACGATAACACTTAAGTTCCTCGATATTTACTTTACTCTCGCTTCGATGAACTTTAACCCGTTGCACTCGAGAGACCGTCGGTTACCATTTGATTGAACGCGGCGGAATTGTAACGTTAAAAATTCAATATTCAATTTTGTGTAACGAAATGACGAATGAGGAAAATCGTCGAGTGCGGACCGTTAACCGTACCGGGAACAGGTCAGATGATCTAAGACTCAAGATTTTGACTCGTAAGCAACAACTGTAACATTTTGATTATCTCGTGGATCACGTAATCCTCTCCTGGTGGCTTGGAAAATGTTCAACAATTACGGGGAAGAGGTGACGGCGTAATTGACGGTAAAATTATATAATTCCTCGAAGTCTGGGGCGCGGGATTAACTGAACCTACTGAATGGGTCAAAATGACCCGATTTTAAATTCTTTTACAATTATTGAAAAACCAATAGATTCTTCTCTTAGAAATTTCTAAGAAATTGTTTCAGTAATACGAACTAAGTTTTGGTAATCGAAGTCTCGATGGATGCTTGGCGTTTCTATGGAGAAACTTTGAAGTCAACTTGATTCGGTCTAGTGATAACACTAGATTTACTAAGATTTACTGTACAGTATGCTCTGTTGTCCTTAGAAAAATTGTTAGTGATGAGTAGACAATTAGGATCCACATCTGCATAACTGCGTTAACACTAGAACTACCGTACAAAACGACTGGTTTTGATCATTTTCTTCCGCAATGATTAATATCTTGAATATCTTGAATACTATAACGAATGTCTAAAAAAACTGACAATAGTCTATCGTTACAATTTCTATACGAATTACATATTAATCGTATCAAAGGCTCGGTACTTCTAGTGTACTTCAGATTGTATTTTACAAACATTATTCGGTAAATGTTATAATCGGTTTTCGTTGATCCAATTACACGAATATAAATCCTGATTGACTTCTACATCTACAATTTCCAAAATCTAAATGAACGAATATCAACTTCCCCAGGAACAATAGAATAAACTGTACAATAAATACCCGTAAACCTAGTGTTAACAAAAATCGACCCACTTACCAAATAATGCTTAAGCTCATTACGAGTATAATTGACCCGTAAATCTAACGTTAAGCGAATCGCGTAGAAATGTTTTCGCAGCCCTGGCATCGTTCGCATTAGGTTTACCCGACTTCTCATGACTAATCGGTCGGCGACGTTTACAATTCCTATAACGACGCAACCGCCAGTTGGATTATAGGAGAGCACATGTTGCGACAATGGCCCGTTATTATCGGCGCGTCGTGCCGGACCCGTTTGTGCAACGATAACACAGGTATATAAGCGTCCTTTGTCCCACGAACGGGTGTCAGTAACCATCATTTGGGGAAAACCGCATTCACAAGATGAACAGGCCGAAAACAATCGTCCGCCTCCGCTCCGCATGGACGCGACGACCGTCGGGTGGATTTTCTCGGTAATGTAACCCGGCAAAACCAATCGATATTTACAAAGATATCGCCGTACGTGTTTGAGATATCGGAAATGCCGACGGAATTTCCGGTGAGTTCGCGTCCCCGTGAGATTAGCCCGCCCGAAAAGAAAGTGGAACGGTGAAATCCGCGTGTTCGCATAGAAACCGACCGCATCGCTGAGGAATCGCGACGCTTTCCCATTGTGCACCGGAGAGATTCGAACCGACGAACGTAAGACATAAATGTATGCTCTGTTTTAACCCTTAAGTCAGACTCGACTCTATTTTATTGCAACCTCTACCTTTAACAATTTTTTCTATATTTATTTGTTTCACAATTGTACCATTAAAGGTAACGTTTCAATGAGTCCCGAATATTCTTGAATAAATAGAGCGTCATTAATCCTTTGCATTATAATAAATAATAATAATCAAGGGATCTTCGTTCGCGAAGGGTTAATAATAGGCTGATTTGAGGAGAGATTAAAACTAAGCGGCAATATTTGACAAAATATTTATACTTCACGTTGCACAAGGTAGAAGGGTAAAGAGATTAATTTAGCAACACGCGAAATGAATCGTAGATCAATTAACCCTTTGCACTCGGGAGGTGACTCTCAGTCACCACTTGGTTTCCTACAGTGAGCTATAAAGTTTGATATTTAATTATACTTCATATAATCTGAGAAATATTCACGTAAAATTTGTCCGTCAATTCACGTGAATTTCTCGTTGGTTTTACGAAATATCGTCTTCATCTCGTCAGAAAATGTTGAAATATTTCTAGTGAAAAACTTCGGACCGCAAAGGGTTAAGATTCCATTTTGCAAGGTGGATTCGGTTCTTGGGAATATTATTCGAGTTGGGTTATGGTGTTGGGTTCAAACAGTACATTGTCGCATTATTTACGATGCATTCTTCTCGTAATGAGGGTTGTGGTAGTTAGGGATTCGAAGATTGGGTAATTCAATTCGGAAAATAGGATTAACGTGGAAGAGGTTGCTAGGGTAATTTTCAGGTATAGAGCAGGGGTGGTTTGAACACGTAACGTCTGGAACAGTGTTTCTCAACTTTCCTTGGCTATCTCAACGTTTCAAAGATTCTTGTGTTTCTATTATAATAATTATTGAATTTTTGAAAAGTGTAACTAGGTAGGTGACATGAGGAAGACAGGTCAATTTTCTTGAAAATTAACCTTTTGCACCGGAAGTTTTGCACTGGAAATATTTCAATATTTTCCGATGAGATGAAGACGATACTTTGTGAAACTCAGAAAATTATACTACCTAATGATATTCAGCTAGATCATTGTGCAATAATAATAACAATTCAATCAAACGATTCAATACTATGTTAACACCAGAACTACCGTATCGGTCAAAATTTCAATTGTTTTATCTCGCAATCATTGATATCTTAAAAGCATCGAACATTCGAAATGATCTTGAAAATAAATAGCTTCATTTGAATATAATGAAATATTAAAAATACCGAAAACAATCTATTGTTACAATTCTTATAGAGATTAATAGACAAATAGACAATTTCTATAGAAATTTCATAGCTACCGTATGAAACAATCCAATAACTCGAGCCAACTATGCAAAGGGTTAAACCTCCAAACGACCTTCCGTACAATCCAGTTGAGAGCCGCTGGCCTACGAAGCCCATAATGCTGCCCTGTCACGTTACTCTACGATGGATCGTGAAAAAAATCTGGATTTACATGAATGTCCACAGCGGACTAATAATCTCTCGCAACCTTCGCCGGCCGCGTGCGTCGGCAACGAATGTTTCATAGATAAATCATTTTCCGTCAATTTCCCCTCGTTTATCCCCGCGATCGCGTGTCGTAATCAAGGACTACATTTCGAAGTGTGTTTACTTCGCAACATCGACGTCAACACACACGCGGTTTCTCGTCGCGCCCGAAATATTGCCCCGTATGCCCCATGACACCGAGCCCGTGAAATATTCGCAGGAAATTCGAACGGGCTTTCCGATCCGGCTTTCTTTTTCTAAACTGGTTATCTGAAGAATGTCAAGTTAAATCGAGTACACGCTGTGTACGTGCAGCTGCTGGCCCTGCCAGAGAACGATGGGTTTTCCCACCCCCTACCCTGGCGGTTTCGTGGCACGCGTGCCGCTGCATGCCGCCAGGGGCGCCACCGTACGTCCGCGGCCATCGTGGAAGGTTATTCCGCGCGTCGGCGAACGCTACACGGTCAGTTCGTTTCAGACAGCGCGCCGAGTATCGACGTTCTCGGACAATAGACACGCACACACATTCACACAGAAAAATCCACATAATATACACACCTACACACACGCGTGCACATTAATTAACCGAGCAACATATCTCCATACACCTGTCTCTCGAACACTTTTCCCAACACTCCGCGTCTTCTGTACCATCGGCGCTACACACGTCGACTCTCACTTCCGCGAAAGTTCCGTTTGGGCTTCCATCTAAACACGCGACGGGGGAAGAACGGTTCGTCCCCATGAACGCGAGATCCAGTGGAACGGAGTGAGCCTTGCCGGGACTGATTGCTGGTACACTATTACACACACACTGCGCGTAAACACAACACCTTGAGAGACAAACAACTGCGAGCCGCAAACAAACCGAAAACGAGAATGCGACGACGAATAACGAAGAAACGAACGCACGTAGAAGAATAGCCACAGCTGTGCTCGCGTGAACGAGGAACGACGATCGAACCGATCGAGCTCCCGAGTAAACGTAACAGTGGCGTCGCTCGCGAACGAACGAAAGTCACTCGAACGGAACGAATTGTATTAGACGTGGAATCTCGGTCCGATTCTCCGTTTACTCCCGTGGACACCGCGCGTGATATCAACAGAGAAAAAGAGAGAGAGAGAGAGAGAAAACGGGGTTATTTTTCCGCGGACCATTGTGTATCTTAGTATTCCATCTGCCCGGATAGGGGAGAGAGCTTAAGGCCGATCTAACCTAACCGATCGAAAGCGACGATCGATTCGAAAATGTGGCATCCGTCGAGCGAGAGAAATGTTGCAGAGTGTAGCGAGAGCAAACGCGACGAGAAAGGGCATACCGACTCAGGATTCCTGTCGGGCGGGAATCTTCAGATCAGCTCGGAGATCTGCGAGCAGGAATCGTTGGATGTTGCTGCAACCGCACCCGTGGCACCGGAACCAATGAGGGCGGACAGCGGCGTGGACCTCGGGCTCAGCGAGAGCCTCAGTCAGCTGACGTTGAAGCAGGTTACTCTGAATCCCTTGGCCAGTGGTAAAGTTCAAACCGAGCCCACCGTCGAGCTCGCGCCCGTCACCGCTGACAAGATCGGGCACCAGCGAGAGGTCGAGACGTTACGACACCGTGAACCCCAACGAGAGATCGAGAAGTCGTTCAACGAGGAACCCTGGCAGCTCTATTACACGCAGGATGACGACGGCGATACGTGAGTAACGTTCTCTGCTATGACTTAACCTCTCTTATTCGAATTCTATTTATCGTCCTATCGCGCGCTGGAATTTTTCTTCGAGATAACATTCGAATTACAATAGCTTGCGGAATAATATTCAAGGCTAGTCGTCGAAGGGTTGAATTCATTGCTCGGTTTCGATTCTCGGTACTCGATGCTCGGGCAGCATCTGATAAGGCCCGTTTTGACGTGATCTCTGGTGACCTTAACGAGGGTTATGCTCGATAACGACGGAGCAGCTGCGCCGTTGGCATTCCTGGAGCAATGAGAGTGTTCTTAGTAACCGCACCGTAAAAAGAATTTGCGTGATCCGCTTAGAATTTATTCGAGTAGGGATAGGATAGGATTGTCATGGCACGTCGTTGCTAAATGTAAACCAGGAATATTTAGACGGTGAACACCGCTTGACAGAGATGCCTACAGTAGTACTCATCGCTGTGACATGTTTACGTTTACGACTTTGTCATCTAGACTACTATGCTGTTTGTTTTCCGCGGCCACGTGACCCGTCCAATCATCCAAGACTATTTATACTTTTTCGAGTGACTCGAAGGGCATGTCACCGACGATGAATCGATTCATTTGAATCGGCCGAGAACCAGCCGCGACGATCGGTTGATCGCAGTCTATAAATCGTTCTACGCGAACCGCGTATTTAGAACGCAGTTCTCGCGTAACACCTGTTTGAATAAGGCGGGTAATTCGAATGAACTTTGCGGGTGCTCCTTAACGGTTCACGAGTTTAGGCGGGAAGTTTGACGTAACCGAACGTTCCCATGGATGCGATGTATTTTATCACGCGATTGAATTATCACAGAGTCAATTAACGTTGCGTATCTCTTTCTAAGTCAATTACGCCTCATTATGTAGTCTCGTTAAGTGAATCATCGCCGATAGCATTTTTGTTTTCCTCCTGCCACGTGTCGCGCCGCGAATCTAGTGCCCGCAATTATCACGGTGGACACGTTGATTTATCGTCATTCATCATTCGTAGAATCGTCGTCGTCGTCGTTCGAAGCAATTCATCCGAGCGCGGTGCATGCGCAGTGGCGTTGCAACCTGTAGCCCGCGCGGCTTCGAACCGTCGTCCAGCGCGTGTCCTCGCGTATCGATCGAAACTAGGATAACAATAGCGAGCCATTGAATGGACGTAATTCCTCGTGACCCGCGGAGAAACAATGACTCAATGACTTACGCTCGTCGGACGTGGTTTTCCTCGTACCGATGAGTGTGTAGGAAACTGTGGTTCCTAATCGTCTTAATCCTCCCTAATCTCCCTTAATCCGAGTCTCCGAAAGGGAGAGAAATTTCTCCTATTGTCTTCTGATGTGCTCTTCGTTTTTTTAATTTTATAACATCAATTTCTATCAATGCATTTAACACTAGAATTACCAAATGGTTTCTTTTACAATTACTGAAAAGGTAATAAGATGAGAAATTCCATGAGAAATTAATAATGGAACTAATTCGGTAATAGCAAAGTGAAATGCACCTTAATTAAAATCTCAATAAACGTACGCTTGTGGTTTTTATAAAGAAATTTGTAAGGTTTAATTGATTGGTAGTTCCAGTGTTAATTACAGTTCAATTTGGCATATCAATTATCCCAGAATATTTCGAATCACTGAAATGGTACTTTTGTGTTTAATTATGTTACGAATAATTGAGATATTTACTATGATGTAATTATAATTATCGTTACTATCAATATAGTAATAAGTAATATTATGATTATAGTAAAATATGAAAGAAAATCGAATAACAATTATAGCAACGTTCCTTAAAATAAATGGACATTGGAACGACGAAGCTATCGGAAAAAATCGAACGTCAAGCTCGTTCGATACAGGAAGGTTCACGAAGGGACACGCGATTCAAGTTTTTTGCAGATTATAGAGATACAGGTTTGCACGATCACGCGCGGTCTATTAATAAACCCGATGAATATGGTTACGAGGGAAAGAAAGGGAGGAAAAAAGTGAGAGGCACCGTTAAATTTGAATGAAAATTTTTATTGCGCCGCGTTTTGCATAGTTACACCTGCTGGAAGCGCATAAAGTCCGCGGTAATCGCATAAATTAACGTCCGCGAGGAAGAGCGGCTCGCCGATCGAGATCGGGATCGGGATCGGTGTTGCGAACGTTGGCGACGCGGGCAATATTTCACGATAAACACCATTATCACGCGCAATTACTGTTTTTACGAGCGCATAGAGAACGCGACGCTGATCGGGGAGGCTATCGTCGTGCGTGATCGCGTGCATACGAATCGGCCGCGGCGTGATTACGCGTTTCTCCAACGAGCGCGTTGACCGATCGTGATCTCGCCGCGGCTCGAAGATTTAACGCGTCACTAGAATCTTCGGTGCATCGCGATATTACTTACTCTTTCATAATAAACAGGAATTATTGCACTCCATTATCGTCGTTGGATTGAATTATTGCATCGAGGTTGTCATGGTTGAATTTAATTTTTGTGATAATATTACCCTTTTGTAATGAATTATTGCATTACATTACCGTTGTTGGATTGAATTATTGCATCGAGGTTGTTATAATCGAATTTAATTTTTGTAATATTACCCTTTCGTAATGAATTATTGCATTACATTATCGTCGTTGGATTGAATTATTGCATCGAGGTTGTTATAATCGAATTTAATTTTTATAATAATATTACCCTTTCGCAATGAATTATTGCATTCCATTATCGTCGTTGGATTGAATTATTGCATCGAGGTTGTTATAATCGAATTTAATTTTTGTGATAATATTCCTTACCATTTCGTAATGAACAGGAATTATTGCATTCCATTATCGTCGTTGGATGGAATTATTGCATCGAGGTTGTTACAATCGAATTTAATTTTTGTGATAATATTCCTTACCATTTCGTAATGAACAGGAATTATTGCATCGAGGTTGTTACAATCGAATTTAACTCTCAATCATTATTACACTTAATGGCATCATGTACGAATTACGGTATTAGGAATAATTAAAAATAATATTCACCCATTGTCCTGCGGTCGAGTTCCGCAGGTGCACTCGTTAGTACCTATTATTACTAATTCGCCGGAAAGAATCCTACGTTCATTCTACGCCTAAGTTTACACTAGAGCTTAGAGCCTAATCCACTCAAGCCGATAATAAGAAGAGTAATGTCCCATTTGAACGCAGAAGAATTGTGCGACATTAGTATTTGAGGAACTATATTTAAAATCGCCACGAGTCTGACACATTACAAGGCTAGCAGTCAACGCCGCCATTTGTTCCAGTGATAATCCTCTTAACGAAGGTTTCCAACAATTATGAGACATAGTGGGAGCACGATTAACCGAGTAAACTATTTTCCATGCATCAAGATTGCCTCGGTTGAATTGGAATTCGATCATTCGAATTCTTAGATTCCACCTCGGAATACACACGACGGAATCTCAACGTTTGTTCCGAGAAATTTCTTATCGCGCCGCCATTTGTCTAGACTATTAGGCGCTCGATTCGGGTAATTCGAAAAGAAAACAATCCCAATCTACTTAACACTAGGTTTACGCTTTAATTCGACACATATTAAATTTTACAAAGATTAAACGTCTAAGTCGACTTTAATCGATTACACGAATATCTTAATCGTCGACCTAATTCCTGATTTCCAAGATCCGAATCGACGAACATCAATTGTTCTAGGGACAGTAAAAGAAACTGCACGATTAACGATTTCGTACGATTCTTATGCTACGAAATATTCGCGATCGGTCTGCGAGCGAATCGAGAAGCTCCGGTCATCGACGACGAACGCGGCGGTGAACGCATTAACCTGTTGACCGGATGAAATTAACGCGATAAAGATTTCGCAGTTTCCGTGGCACGTGGATGCACTGTATCCCGCTGACGTAACAGCGACGCGCGCGCGATCCAGCGATCGAACGGAATCGCGAGAAAACGGAAACTTACCAGAACCCGATCGCGAGCGACGATCTAACTCGTCCCGTTTGGGCGGCGCGTATCTAGATCGCCGATAAACGAGTGGGAGGGTCGGCTCGGTTCGTACAAGCAGATAATCTGCGCGAGATAGAAGCGACGGGTTCAATAGATAGTTCGATAAACGATAGAAATAATTGATGAATCGCGGCCGTGATTTCGTAATTAATCTACATTGACGCAAATTAATGAATCGTTGACCTTTGCACGGCCGGAGGAAACGACCGAGCGCGGAACGGGGGAAAAAATTGCGCGTGTCCGTTGGAAAGCTATGCTGAATTATCGCGCGCGAACACGTGCTCGATCGCGAATAACAATTCGACGATCAATCGGATGCTTCTCGGAACTGGAATACGTGCAATTAATTTCAATGATAAGCCCGAGGCGTCACGTGCGCGCGTTCGATCGGATACCTCGTTACGCATCTCCCGATCGTGGAAAGTAAACTAGTTTCACTCTCGTTAACCCTATGCCAGATGCAAACAAGCGGCGATATTATTCAGCTTTTTTCCAACGATCGGCTCACGACGTCGGTTTGACGCATGTCGCGTTTCATAAACATTATTCGGTTTACGTCGACTCCGATCGATGCAGTCGGGACGCGTATTCTAATCGTCCATTGTTCGATCTCGATCTACGCCTCTGTAAACCGAATCCTCTTCCTCCGACTGATAACCTTCACCGAAAATCAAAGGGGTTGAAATTTCGGACACCCCTTCTCAGTTCCCTCAAAAATCTCTCGACTTTCATAAGAAAAATCTCTAATATTTCTAATCGATTCCAATTCAGTTTATCTTCGTTACAAAACTGCGGAAGTCGCTCCAACCTTCAACCCTCTACCCCAGAATGTTGCGTCAACGTATTCCTTAGAAAGCGTATCGAAACCATCAAAACACTGAGTCATATTTATATAATATATGACTAAGATGTAATTGTCGAATTAGAATTCACTTGCGTCAGACCGAGCTTTGCAGCTAACGTCGAAATAGTAAACGTACAATCGAATTTTTCTATCCAAGGGGTTAACACTAGGTTTACAGGTCAATTTGACGCATACTGAATTCATAAACATTACTCTCAAACGTTTATGTCGGTTTCGGTCGATGCAGTTACAAGAATACGTATCGTAACAACCTAATTTTACGAAAAATGTTCATATATAATAAAACATTCGAAGACTCTCTCGGCCACATTCATCTACAACGTATCGAATTTCTCATGTTTCGAATGAGTCTGTTGCCAATTACAATAAAAAAAAAGTTGCTTCGAAACAATCACAGATTCATTTCATTCATTATCACGCAAAGAAGTGGGAAATAACGGAAATTAATGCGCTTACTCCGATGCTGGTATAGTTCAAAAAATATCACTGGTACGATAGAAAATTCTACGATACCGCAGCTACATAGTTTCTTTTCTTCTTTTTATTGTTATCTTATCTCTCTTTTTATACCAAAGTAGCACGATCAACCAAAACGAAACGCAGGCGTGGCTCCGTTGTATCGTTAGGACGATTACACGACGAAGTTAACGAAACACTTTTAATCTTTGCTACCCTCTAACCGAAACGGCTTTTCTCGTTCGATGTACAAGTTGCGTTTGTTGCAACCGAATATTTTTAATTCTCAAGATTTCGAAACCGTTTCGTTTTCCTTTTCCAGGCAGCTGCACATAGCGATCGTCCAGGGGTTCCTGGAGGCTGCGTTCAGCCTGATCCGAATGGCACCCCACACCTGCCTGTTGAACATACTGAACGACGACGGCCAGTCCCCGTTGCACCTGGCCGTGCTGACGAGGCAGCCCAGGATAGTGCGCAGGCTGATCCTCGCAGGTGCGAACCCCGCGCTGAGGAATTTCCGCGGCAACACGGCCCTCCACCTGGCCTGCGCGACCGGGGACCTCGCCTCGGCCAAGGCCCTGACCGACCCCTTGACCCCCGTCGAGAGGAACTACCTCCTGCCCGGCAAGAAAGTACCTGCTCTGCCGCAGAATCTCGAGCAACGGAACTACGACGGTGAGTTGTGGCCTTTGGTCGCTACCCTAGTGGCATAAATATTCGTTTCACCCTTTGCACTCCAGGTTGTTGATCAACTGCGAGTAATTTCTAGGTCGGACGAGGTTGCAACTTGTCGCTTCCATGTACAGCCACTGCAGACGCAGTGTGCCATGCTTTTTGTGATCTCGGTGATTCGTTAACCCTTTGCACTCCGAAGTTTCTCACTAAGAAATGTTTAACCTTTAAGACTCCAGATGGTTTTGTTTCAATTTCTAAAAAAAATTAGAAATGCTATAACATTTCTTCGATCTTTTATTTTCCTTCGTAGCACGAAATTTGGATGTGAAAATCGAATAATTTTAGGGTAGTTTCTTTAAGATTCGTTAAAATGTTTAATGTTATAATTGGTGCAGTATTGGAGCCTACAGAGTTCAAAGGGTTAACCGTTTGCGGACCTATTACCTATCGATTGCTTAATATAAAAAAAGAAAGTTACGCGCTGATCTCTTGCTGTTTGAGTAATTAAATCATTCGTCCGCGACTTTCTCTTCCAAATACAAAATTTCATGTCGCCGAAATGTCGATTTTCGGCCGCAAAGAGTTAACGCTAACACTACCAAACGGGTTAATTTTTAAATTAAAAGGAAACGGATGTTTCTCTGGGAAATTATTAAAGAAATTGATTTAGCAATGCGCAAACTGAATTTGAAGTCAATTAAAATCTCAATAGACGCACTCTTGGAGTTTCTGTGAAAGAACTTCAAAAAGTCAATTTCACTGCTCGGTAGTTTTAGCAGAGGTAGTTTTTTCGGTAGAATCCTCGAGTCACAGAAAACGAGAAAAGTGTGTACTCTTTCATTCTCGAAAGAATCAATTTGCGGAATAGTCATGCAACTTTCATTTCGCCGGTTGAAATAAAACGCTTATCTTTTTCCTCGTATGTCGACATAGATTGTTTGCTATCTGCCTCGAAACGAACGAGGAAAGTCGAAAACTTTCGGTTTTGAGTAGGTTTATTTAAAGAACGCGTCGACCATTCAACATCGACGTAGACTTCCGGCGAACATCTTTTCCTACCGAACTATGAGCCACATATTTCCAAGGAATACGCGCATACCCATGAAAGGAATCATTAAAACCGACTCAGGAAATCCGAATAAAATAGAACATTACCACTCGCGTTCCGCCGAAACGGAATTTATATGCAATCCCGAGGATCCTCCGCTCGGCAATGAATCATGCAAAAAGCGATCTCGCTTTCTACTTTATTCGGATAACAGACCGATACCTCGCTGACGGATGTTCGACTGGAAAGCGACACTTTCAGCCTCGTTAATAATTAACACGAGCCGTTGTGTCAGGCTCCTCTAAAGGATCCGACTTCTAGAAACGCTAACAATAGTCGCGCGGAACGGCGACCTTTTTCGTCGACGCGTCCCCGTTTCCCGTTTCCTTTGAAAACCCGTAAATCATATTCGGCTATTCTCGGCAATTCGGAAACCGTGTGTCCGCCGGATCCGAGGCGGCATTATCGGTTCGAACAAAAGACTCTGAACGTTGGACCGTACAATGAGTCGCGAAATACGCAGAACCGTTTAGTTTACGCGGTTCGATGCGAACAACAAAGTATACGTAGAATGTCGGAGAATTCTCATCGACCATGGATGATAGATTTCACGGACGAGGAAGGAAGCGTGACAAGCAAGCGGATCTTCGGGAAATCCTGACATCTTTTACCGCGCGTGAAGCAACAATGATCGAGCTCCGTTCGGTCGCGCGGAAAACAATCCTGTGACCACGATTACGCGCGGGTTTCCCGTGATTTCATCGTGGATCGCGACTGATCCACCGTGGGCCTTGCTCGCGCACGCTCGGAAATCCCATTAACCGAACCGTGATCTACGTGCATTCGTCGCAATTCTTTGTGGGAACTGACTTTTCGAGACAATCACGTCCTCGGTGAAGTGCTTGGTTGCTTCTTTCTTTGGAAACGGTTTTCTTCTGCATCGCGTTACGTGTACTTGAAAGCTTCTGAACGTTGTGGTCGTTGCGCAAAATCTGAA